AGAACTATCTGGAATACCTGGAGAAAAGTATATAAGCGACGACGAGAACCAGACAGGGAAGGGAAGTGACAGGAGCGACCAAGTGCAACAGAAGTTAAACTCCGGGAGCCGAAAACGCGTGTTTTCCTTGTGTTATTGTTATTGTTAGTGAAGTTGACGGTAACTTTGAAGTTAGTTTGTTCCTGTTCCGTAGTTAAAGTTGTACCGAGTGGAATACAAGTTGTAAGCTGAAGAAAGAGTTTAATACTCGGCCATCCACGGTACAATATGTATATTATCTAGTCAGTTATCTAGACATCAATAAATCATAAATAACTAAACGAATATAAATAGAAACAACTTTTTGAAAAAATTGGAAAGCTCTTTCCGGGTCATAAAACTATTAGAACATATTTTTGCTTATACTTTGTTTGCTGATATCAACTGGAGCGACAACATCACTAAAAGTAGCAACAAATATTCTAATAATTTTGTGATCCGAAGAAAACTTTCGAATTTACACATAAATAAGTTTTTAATAAGTTTTGCATTAATACGATTTAATTAATAATGGTTGCTAGACCAGTTTGACTGTTTTGAAGAATCGAAATATTGCGAAAACAACAGCTTAATTTAAACATTTTTTATATACATATGTAATGTAAATTTAAGATAACAATGAAAGTTCAGAGAACCCAATTTCCTAAATTGTAATATTTTGTTAGACAGTGTAGTTTCAGAATAATTGAAAAAACATCTTCCGTGCGTGAATGCACTGTATCGTGCAGCCATCCGAAGACTCTGTAAACTTATTATAAAAGCGAAATGGGCAATTATTGCTATCAGTCATTCTCAGCTTGGTGTTCAATAATTTAGGTTTGCATCATGGGAGGCTGGGTAAGTTTCCTTTCCTCCAAAAAAGTAATAAATTAGTATTTATGTGTATAGTCGTATATATTAATATTTTAACGTAGCAAACGCTACAAAAATAACATAAACAGAATACTTTGTCTTGGAAATGTTTAATCTCTAATACTACAAGACATTTGGAGAGTATGTAATTGTAGAATAAACATTGAAACTATGTTGAGCTCGTGTAGAGTTCTCGGTAAATTTTCACACCTACAACATCAATTATTGCAAGATTTGAATCATTTTTTTCTGAATTTTATTGATTTCTCGCTCAGGCAATATTTGATCTGTTTCAGGACCGCAATGTTCTACTTGTGTCATTTACATTCGTTATATTTGCTCATCAAATAGACGCATATGAACTCAGCCCTTTGTTGAGAAAATCTAAAGATACCTCTAAAGTCGAACTGATTTTTCATCATGCACAATTAAGACCATCGTCTCCACCATCAGGATTAATTAGACAAAATAAGCAAGCACATGAAATAACTAAACGCGCTAACGAAGAAAGTAACCATTCTCGATCAGAAGACGATTCCTACGATGTGGCGTTAGAGGAGCAAGCAGAGCGTACTGTCGAAGAACAATTTACACATGGAAAAACGGATAAAACTGACCGAACAACTCAAACAGGACACGAAGAAGCCCAAAGCAGTCGCAGAAACTTCATCGGTCACGAAAAAGGAAATAATCACGATGATCATCACAAAAACGAAATTCACTATCACCAACACAAACATTTGCACGAACACGATCATGTTCAAGAGCACAAACATCAGCACAAAGACGAACACAAATCTGTACATCATCACGAGCACAAATCGCACGCCGATCACAAGCATCATCACAAACAAGAACATGATCATCACCACCAGGGTAAACATGTTCATGAAGTTCACGCCGAACATAAGCACGAGCACCATCAGAACCACAAACACCATCACAAAGGCGAACATAAACACGACCATCATCACAAAAACGCGCATGAGCATTGGGAAGATCATAGTCACAAACACAAAGAAGAAGCCAAACATTCACATGAGGAAAAATCGGAACACCAACATGATCATCATCATGAGCACAAGCATCGAGCGAAGCACCATCACAAGCACAAAGCTCATCATCAGCATAAGCATAAGCATCAACATGGCAGCAGCCATCATCACACACATAAGAGTCATCACAAAGTTAAGGTTAATTATAAGAAGCATGGTTGGTAGGTTTATTTAAAACCGTTTTGATTGACGATTTTGTTTTGAATATATTCAGCTGTTAAATATAAAAAAATGATTGAACATTCTTATTTACGCCGACTGGGGTTTACGTTGATCATATCCATACGAAAACGACGTTATTTACGATCGAGCAAAGTGGTCTAAGAATTGGACCATATGAATTAAGAGACTGGGCATTGGTCGGCTATGCATACACTTTACACCCACTTGCGTTGGCGACAGTTCGACATACTTAAGAGCTAAAAGGTCCATAAATCGTACATATCTTTTTTCTGGGTTGCATATTGCTTCATTCAGCGAACAAAAGCCGGACGCTAGACGCCGCCTCTCAATCGAAAGAGTTCTTTTCGTACTTAGTGGGCATTTAGGAATTTATGACAAACCTCTTGCTGTGACTGCCACTTCTCAAGTTTCAACAGTGAAATGACTCACTTTTGGTTGGCATTGAACTGAGACCTATCCGTCATAGAGTAAGTAAAATAATTATTTTACTTTCTCTATGCTATCCGTATAGAAAATAGAGCTGGGTCGAAATGGTCAAGAAAACCTATTTTAAATGGCTGCTAAATACTTGCCATAATATTAACCTAATGCTGGGGCGGCCTGATGAATCACACGGAGTTTGAACCAAAAACCAAGTATTTGCTTTAAAATCTAAAAATAATTCAAGTATGTACGTTTTACTGACTATTAGATCTAACACACGATGAGGTTAAGTTTAAATCACTATATTTAAAGCTATTGAGGCCAAGGAGAGCCGAAACGCTTATGTACGTGCGAGGCTTACAAAAAACGTTTTGACAAAAGACGTATAGAAAAATTCTCAAAAATCTTATCCGTAGGCAGGGTGGCCCTTTGCGAAAGATAAGGAATTTAGTCAAACGAAGACTTCTTTCCTTTCCGTAATAGAAAGCCTTAAAATTATTAAAACAATATTTTTTTTAAATCTCTAGTTTTAATTGATTTTTTCGTCAAAGTTATCACATTTTTCGTGCAGAAGTCATGCATTTTATGAACCGACATTAAGAAAAGAAATTTAACGTTGGTACGACAAGAACATGCCACATTTTACATCGGCATGTTTCAAAAATTATTGGGAATATTTTTTTCAAACACGTGAAACAAATCCGAATCTGCGCTTAAAAGTAATGAATAACATGTTGAAATTGCTATCCGAATCCCTCAACGTTATCAAAGAATAATCATGAAAATCGCGGCTGTTTCACGCTTAATGGAGCAAATCGTGAAACTGGGATTTTCATCATTGAAATGACAAGATGCAAACTTTATGAATGAATCTGTTTTACGTGCACCAGATGGGATTTTGTGCAGACCAAACTTGAGTTGCTTGTCTTAAGAGGTGTAAAAGAGTTTGTTATCAATTGAGTGAAGTGCTGTTTCACTACTGAAAGTGAGAGTCAGTAAATATTTGATAAAACGAAAATTATAGCCTTAGCAGAAGAAGTTTGTAAACTTTTGAATTTACTTAGTCGTATTTACTAAGTTGAATATACTGAATAAAGAGGAGACAACTGTTTTGTTCAATATATCGAATTGAAAGATGCATTTATATATTTTATATTGATAAGGGCGCCAAAAAAGTTGATTTAATAAGAATAAACTTGCATGATACTGGAGGAATATTTGGGTTCAAAAATTTCTCTTTTCTGAAACCTGCGTTGTGTACTAAAACTTTAAGGAAGCCTGAAACATAAGATAACATAACTTTTTTTATGATTTTTTATTTTGAAGAAGGGAAGAATATGATTTGCTTATTAAGTTAGTTAAGTGGAGTTGGGCAAATACTTACTTTTGCACATAAAGGGGATACCAAAGCAATCCCTAAGTCTAAGTAAGTTTTTTTGGACAACGTTTCTCAAAAAAGAAAAAAACAGTTTCTTCAAAACTCTCTAGTTTTTATTTTGTTTGCATTTTGAGGGAACAGCAAAAAAGCTATTGTTGTTTATCTACATTCGCTTTATTGCTTTGTGTATTAATTTGCGTCAAAAAACTTTTTTTTAAGAAGTTAACACTTTTTACTATCCATGTGAGCGTTACGTAAAGTTCGTTTTACGCAAAGAAGTAAATTGAAAATCGATGAGCTTCCCGGCGGTATTCAAAATCGCAAGAATAAATGCAGGGCATTACTCCAAAATAGCGAAAACATCCTGTATCTTGAAAAATGAAGCATTTTAAATCCTGCATGGGTTTTCCAATTTTTTAAGTTTTGCTGCTATAAATACACATTCTCTATAAATATACAACTGGAAGTTGGAAGGAACAATATTTATAAAAAAAGAACGACAAAACAGTCGAAAAATGAAGAGTTTGAGTCATTTTCAATATAAGCATTTTTTATTGCTACATTTGTGACGAAAAAATGTTGCTTTCAATCGTAACGTTTAATTGAATTCAGTCGTTTTTAATAGAAAGCAAACGAATGTATTCTTTGCTTAAAAAAACCTGTTGCTTGGCGTTCAGTAAAAAAGTTTGCAACAAAATTATTACTAATGATCAGTGAAAGTCGAAGGTTTACCCTCAAGAGACAAAGTTAAAATTTTATTTCTCTAAAAAGCTTAGAAATTTGTATTTCCAATTTTATCAAAAGCGATTGCAAAATGCTTGATTAACTTAGCGTGGTTAATATAGTATTCATTAAAATGCTAAATAACCGTGCTTATAAATTAAAATATGTATAAAGTAAACAATTCGTTCTACGTTGATTCATATTTGCTAAAATGATTAAGCGAACTTAAGCTGAATATTGGTTGAGCACATACTTGATCATACTATCAAAAAACTACAAAGAAAGCGAAATCGGAAGATAAGCGACCTCGCTATCCATATAGGGATAGGAATTGCCAAACCCTTATATGGATTTACCAATGTCGTCTCTTTTCAATACTGCTTTTTATAAAGTAATTGATGTTATTAGTGCTCAACCACGTTCTTATTGAAAATATAAGGACACACTCATTTTTTGGCACTTCCGAGGGTCCAAATTTAAATATTTTGCCATTGGTTTCATACATTTACCTGTTTAGTTTCAATGAGACTGGTGCAAATGTGTTTAATTTTAAAGTTATATTAATTGAGAAATTATTTATCGTCCATCAACACAGCAAAATGTTCATAAGACAAACAGCAACAACTTTCCAATGAGCGTGAGACAGAGACCAATAAAAACAAAAAAATAAAATAAAATGGATACAAACCAAAATCGTGATTATTACAACTCTGAGCAAACGAGACATTTTATAGAAAATAGAAAACAATAACTTTACAATGCAAATTGTTATGTTAAATAACTAGGAAATTTTGGTAAGCAACCTCAAATTGTACTTTAGAAGTCTGGCTATATTTACAAAAATTGACCTTTTGCAGATTCGTCGGCAAATCTAGCCAAATCTAAGAAATTTYCAGCTGAGCTTTTGTTTTATGTATAAGAAACTGGACGTCAGGGTTACTTTCCTAAACAAAAAACATTTTAGAAAGCATTTACGAACTTGACAATCGCGGTCGTCTCATTGGGAAAACCAGCAGTTACTAATAAATAATTAATTACTAATTGAGTTTAAAGTTTTACTAATATTGAAAATCTGTATTACGTCAATCAAACGATTTCCTTTACCTTAAGAATCCATGAAAATCACAACAAAAAATCACCAATTCGACCAAAATGGGCACTGGGAAAAACACACAAACTGTGTCAGTTATCACGCACTCGTCGCGAACTAGTTAAAAATTGCAAATCGGAAAATGTGTGTAGACGACCGAAAAGTGCCGGTTAATTTTCGGAGCTTTCCAAAAATTTTATTTATGTTCCAATAACGCGAAGATATATTTAAACCTGGAATAACGCGCTGATAAAAATAGCAGTTTGATAATCCCCGACTTCTGTCTGGATACATATTTTTTTTCAAAAGTCCTTCCAATTCCGATGCGGAAGCTTTCTGATGTTTTATTTGTTCCTAATATTTTTTCTTTTTGTTACAAATTTTTCTTTAAATTTCCCTAGTTGCTTACTCGAAGTGTTTTTCCAATCTTGCGCTTTCAATGCTTTAAATAACTTGTTGCTATCTTTTCAAACAGTGACTTGCACTTTTTCATGGTAACAATTGCCTGGAATAGTTATTCGATTATTAAAAAAAAATATATTGCAACTTTTTAAACGAGTTATTTTGAACCACGCGTCCTTTGAAGTTTTGTTGAACTGGAATTAAGTTTTTCCATTGTTTTTGCAAATACAGAACCGCAAAGACAGTTGTGATAAAACTAAATATAAATCCATTATACATTTTATGTGAAAGTACACTTTACTATCAAAATATTCTAGAAATTATTGTGCTCAATCAAGACTAACCGTGTGAACAGTGAAGTAGTTAGTAAGCAAGCAAAGGCGTAAACTATTTAAAAAACAATGTTTTGTTTTGTTTTGTTGTGGAGCTTTTTTATATGATGATTTCCGATTTTTCTAGTTGAAGAAAGTGGTTTGGAATTTCATCATCATCATGGAGCATGCAGCTTTTTGGCCGCCCTTAAAATAATTAGATACTTTTCTTGACATTGCCTTACGCCCAAGTTTATTTTCTCCAAAACTCCTTGAAATCGTAATATTTTATGTCTCTTATCCAAACCATTGTGCAAAAAGAGTATTTTTTTTACAAGAGATGACTTTCTAATGGCAGTTTTACAGTTCAAACAAAACTTCACCCCTCAGAAAATTTTTGAAGAGGCATTATTAACTCAAATCATTCTTCACAAATTTATAAATAATTATGTAGCCCTCCTATCGAAATCCATAGGCGTGTGTAACAAAGTGTATCATTCAAATGAATTTACTTGAGTTGAAATAATGTTCTTCATTTATACAATATTTTTTTTAATGTTTAATTTTAATTTAACTGTCGTGTTGGCAAATACTAAAAACTTCAACTTACACAGGGTCTATTGCTCGCCTTATTTCATACGGTAGTAAATGTAAATATTTGATAAATGAGATTTCATTTGAACAATTCTTGAGGAAAGTCTTAAGCAAACTGAACCGATAAACAATGCAAATAATGATCACAACAAATATATGCATTTTGCTTGCTTGTATGAAGCTAATGTTTTGTAATTTACCGTGACAAATTTAGGTTGAAGAAACAGATTAGAAATTCTAAATGTGTAAGATGATTAATTATTTAGTTTTTGCAATAAAAGCGGAAATATATTAAAAGGAAAACAATTCAAGTGTAACTGTGATTTGTAAGAATCTTAACATTACTGGTGATAATGACTGAAAGTTTTATTGAGGAATTTTAATCATAGTGCTCTCATAAGCACATGTGTAAATTTGTCTGATTAAGATAAATGTTTCCATTTCTAGCACATCAAAAAATAAGGATTATTTAACTTGAAATCAATTAATGAAATAAAAGATTTTAATTAAATTAATGTCAACCATAACCCAAATAAGATTTCTACCGGTTCAAAAGATTCCACCGTCCTGGTAAATGTACTAGTTTTAAATTATATTATTAAACATATTTTATTCGAAGAATTTCACATTATATTGATTGATCTTATAGAGATTGTCATTATAGAGATTGTCTCACGATGATCTTCAATAAAGTTCGGAAGAAGTCGACCTATCAAACATGTTTATATGTTGTATATATGTTAATATAAACCCTTAATATATTATGATTTGGATTTTGTGGATAAATATTTCATGATGTGGATTTTTTCACGCAACGTTTTTGCTTTATTTGTAAATCACAGATCAATTCCTGCTCTTGCTGAGTTCGAATTTGAACATTCATTTTCTTCCCATTTTGATGTCTTCTACCATCTCGATTTTGAGAGCGAAGAAAATCGAATTTAATTATCGTTCGGCGTTAATAAGAAACAGAAAATAAAAGAAGCAACAGGATTAAAATTAAAAACACTTGCAATCATAAAGACTACTTTGCTATTTTTGCACCATCAATAAGAATGATTGTACAGACTACTCCTCATTAATATGATAACAATAATTTCATCTGCAATGGGAATAAACTCAATCTTTGCGTGGATACACGAAGTTCAGTTCGATAAAAATAAGTTATCTGGGGCACTATTTTTAACACTCAGCTTCTTAAAATACACCACTGATGAATACATATCTTTGCTAGATATTCATTAAGATTTATATCTATAATAATAAATAAAAAAAACGGTCAATTTTGGGCCTCGGATCAGTTCTGTTAACGTCTGGCTTAAAATGCCGCAAATAACTACAAGAAAATGTTTGTTATCAATGTATTTTGCAAATAATCAGACATGCAAATTACTCGTTTCAGTATTGAGAGCATAAACCGGCAAAGGAACTGATATTTATTTCTTCAAGTGGTCCTTGCAACAAAATAATTATTTTTTTATGCTCAATTAGTCTAAAATGAAAACTTTATTATCAATTATTAAACTTCGCAAAACGAACATCGCAAATAGTCATTTTCCTAATTAATGTCGGAGTTAAAAGGCAAAAAGTGGCTTTGAATGTCACATATTTTGTAAAATATGCTCCTGTTTTTCTCTTTTCTATCGTCGCTTTATTTAATTAGGTGCTGAATGTGTTGCCTACAGCTAGCTCTATGTCGCCATCTATCCTTGCATTTGACCAAAACCAAATTGATACGTGATATCTAATCACGCGAAGAAAAAAAAAACAATGAAAGAAGAAAATAAAATAGAAGTAGAAAATAAGCATCCCAATTGCACTAAATAGAAACGAATTTTTTTTGAAACAATGAACAAAGTGAAGATCAAAGAAAAGCCTTAATTGTGCTCTGGGACTTGCGGGCGTTTTAACAAATTTTTATTGCTCTGTTGCATTAGCCTTCATTACATGATAAGGTAAAGTGCAACCTCATAAAATCTGAACTATTTCCTCGCAAATAGCCACTACACCTGTTGTCAATCTAAAAATACTATTCCATCGCCATTTTAAAAGCTGAAATAGAAAAGCTTTGGGATTGAGTTTACCATCGAGAAACGCGGATTTTCCATTAGAAGACGATTAGTAGGTATTGAAAGCCTTTGGGGGATGAAGGAAGACACACTCAGCCAAAGTACTTACTCAAAAAATGGTGCCAATGCCAAAAACAAAAACTAAAACTAAAATAGTCGCATTTCGGGATAAAACTGATAATTTGCGAGTCTGAGTCAAGGCGCTGCAATTCCCGAATTCTCCCGAAGTGTCAGAATTCATCTATTCTCGAGTGAGGGTAACTCGAAATCGTTCCAAATTACGTCTGTCTTTTTCTCGATCACGTCCAATTTCCGAAGAAGTTTGTTGCATCGCAGAAGTTTTCCAACTGAAGATCAGATTTGTTGAAGGAACGAACGCGCTCAAGTTGGGATTTCAGCGTGTCTAAAAATGGACACACACTTGGGCGTCGGGACGATTATAGACGCTACATGGAATAATAAGAGCACGTCATGGATTAATTATTTGATTACCTACCGGTGACTACTTATGGATGTAAAAAGACCGGAACGTCATCGATTACAGTGCATGCGTTAACAGCATTAACCGCTTCTAGAAATAAAGCGATCAGATGACAGGATGGAACAACTTGAAAATAGTACTAAAAAATAAATAACGAAAACTGAGGAGCTATAAACTTGTGTAGTATATTGATTGTATTAGATAAGAAAGTAAGATAAAATGTTGAAAAGTATTTCTGCCAAGATGAAATTACAGAATCAAAAATCGTTTCACACAACTTATGCTGCAACAAATCGCAGATTGATTATGAGTTCAAAATAGTTCGGATTTTTATGAAACTGGTGAGTTAAACTCAACTCGATTGTCTCGAGCGATACACTTTTCTAGAGGCAAGACATTCATGCTTGCGAAACGTTGGAACGAAATTATTATCTACATCGGCCTACAAGCCCGAAAAACTCACTAATATAAACTATACACACATTTACCATCAGAAGAAAAATTATTACTGAAATAATAATGGGAAGCCCAGAATTTGCCCGCAGCTTCACTAGTAAAGACTCGAAGTTCTACACTACAGCATTTAAATACAATTATATGCAATAATATGCAATTGAATTCGTTATATTAAAAATGTAACAAGGTTCGAAAATAAATTAATTATTTGTTTGAGATTGAGCTATAGTTTCTCAGTTAGATCTTCCTGCAACTGGCACTGGACTATATGAAAAGAGGCCGAAGGCATTAAAATTTGGGCAAATTTAAAAATGCAAAAATTGCACATTCTGTACGCCCAAAAAGTAGAAAAATGACACTCACACTATTGGCAGAATAACACCAGAAAAAGTAAAAAATAATCAAAACCTATGGAAGTTACAGACAAAATATGCTGAAAACATATTCGTATTTTTATATATAATTTGTAATTTTACTTGATCCAATTTAATACCATTTTTCAAAATTTGTCTTTATTGCATGGAAAACATTGTAATTACTTCTGATATCTATCAGCAGGTCAATTAAAAAACATTTCAGCAAAAAATCAGCAATTTTCGTTTTTTAAAAATATACCGGTGGTGATGGTTTTAAGCGTGTCTGGACGATGTATAGCAAAGCCCTGCCAAAAGGAATTACTCAATGCAATCAAAATACGCAATTGAGGAAATTTATTTGGTGTGAGTTTTGGTAAATATTGCATAAATTTAGTTAAGCCTAATTGCAGAAATTCGTTTTGAACAGACGTAAACAATGCCAGGTTTATTTGCTGCAAACGCAATTAAGGCAGCTTAAAAAAAGCAGCGGAAAAAATTGGAGCTTAAAATGAGTAGGTTTTACAAGATGAACATTTTCACATAAACTATTTGAATTTAAATTAAGTTCCTGTAAAAATTGGTCTGTTTGTCTGTTGGACTCCATGTAGATTTTCTTAGAATGTATTCATATTCATCATTCATAGGTAGGAAACTCACTTAAAACTTTAATAAATAATAACATATTAAACGTATTAAAAATTTGTAACATTTTAAATGTATTTTTGTTTTTAACATGATTGTATGTCTTTTCAGATTTGCTAACAGTTTTATTGATGCAATTAAAATGCCTCAAGAAAATGGTATTAATTAGAATTTTCATGTTACTTTTTTATTTTATTTGGCAACTTATATCGTCGGGTTTTAATTTTTTCTACTATCTGTAGATAATAAATTTGTACGTAGAATATTAAGCATCCTCATTAACCACAATTTAATATAGGAACAAAATAATCTGTATTTCAGTAATATTACTTTTTAACTAAAATACGATCTTTGTGAGTTTACTGTATTAGAATAATTAAATATAAAGAATTGATGAGCATCCGAAAGGATGAAGTTTCACAAAAAATATATAATTTTCTAATCGAAAGCTTTTCTTTTGCATCAAACTTAAGAAGGCATGGCAAATGTTTCTGCCAGTATCGGAGAAACTCATGTTTGAGTTAAATTTTAGGGTCTTCAATTTTCATTATGTGCCAATCAATCCAAATTTGAACCTTAAACGTATCAAGTGACTATGAAATGGTGATGTTGGGTGAAACTTTATCTCGATTTTTCAACATGATTGTCATATTTTTATACCCTACAAAAGAAAATTCCAATGCATCAACACGAATTTATTAAAACATTCCATCAATTAATGATTTACTTCTATCATAGGTAAATCCTTGTAAGCACACAGACTATGAATGGCCTGTTATCAGACTGATGAAAATAAAACATTATCCTTTTATAGTCAACAGATGTATTTTGTTTTTGCTATTCAATTGTGTAAAACTTATTCAAAAATCCTACAATTATTTTAAATATTTTTTTCTCAACGGAAAGCAAAATTGCTAATAATCTGATATTACGATTTAACAAATTGACAACAATAAAATGTAATTAACCAATACACATCATACGTCAATGAATTAGCACGATGAATACATGTACATTTCAGCGATAAAAGCAATATGAATCATCTAATGAATACGTATTTGGAGACGTATGTAAATAGACAATTTTCCCAATAACTGTTACAACCAGTATCGATAAAAATAGATAAATTTCTCACATTAGTCACACTTGTTTGGGTGAATTAAATAAAATTGTATGTGTATTCCTCGTGTTATTGTAAGGACGATGGTAATAAATAACAACGAAAACAATGGATTATTTCAATGTAATCAAACTAATTAGGAAATTGCAACTCTGTGTTGTTCTATTATTTTCCACTTTGAAGGCTCTTATGTTTAGCAAGAAAAAATAACCGAAATTAAATAAGTTTTTATGTATGCGTTTTATAATCACAAAGAAAAGTAAAATTGCTCAAAGGAAAATATTTAATGACATAAAAAATGCTAAAACACATTTGCTTTAATTAATGTCGCGGTTTTTAACACTTATCGTGGTTCAATCATCCACCAAGCTTTAGAGGTCCGATCTGAACTTTAACATAAATACAAAAAAATCTGTAACTTGGACTGAAGACTTTCTTACTAGATGAACTTGAGGAATTCGAATTTGTTATTTTTCAATTCTAGTATATGTTCAATTTAAATATTTAAAGGAAACACGTCGACTTGAAGCAAGTAACTCAACAGTTTGAATAAATGAAGTCACAGCTACTGAATAAGTCCTACGTATGTAGATATATTAGCGACGTCAGACATAACATTTTTTGCAAATTCACAGAAGTGCGGCTAGCTTATTGAATATTGACATTGCATTTATTCTTCAATCCAACGATGTACGACGTCTTGAACAAGGCGATGAATCATTTAGAGAGGCAATCAAACTGCATTTTTGCCAGAGTCTATTTTAATAACATCTTGTTGCATGCATAAACATGCAATTAACTTAGTTACTACATTGCAGATAATACATGGTGGGCACTAAAGTACAAATTACTATAATAGTATTGTCACTTAAGCTCCTAAGCACTAGAACCTTGAGTATAAGTTACAATTATATTTTTCACAAAGTGTAGGTACCATTCTAAGCAAGATTTATATAAGGGGTATTACAGCACGTTAAGTAGTTGCTTTAGCGTTTCTTTTATCTGTGATATTTTCTAAGGCAATTGCTCATACTTTTCCATTATATTTTCGTATTTCTTCTACGTTATTGATGATAAAATTGACATCGGGCTTAAAAGGCTATTAAACCGTAAATTGAACCGCTTTATAAGTTATTTCCGAAAGCTAATCGAATGTCATTATATGCACTTAATGGTTTGGCATTAACTACGCCAGCCTAGACATGTATTTCTTTAAAAAAATATAAGTTATGGCATTTTAAAAGCATCTCTTCAAATCGGCTCAGGGTCATGAACAAAAACTCATTTTGTCAGTAATAGTTTAGCTATTAAAAAGTAGTTTTCTCATTTGCTTTTCTGTGAATTGGGACTAATATTTTATGCAATTTTTTGAAACTATTATACTTATATTTATATTGTATTTCTAGTGAAGTGGAAGCCCTTGACTGATATCTTTATAAAGGTGCGTTCCTTGCAAATCTTTATCCAAAAATTGGTGTTTCCAATTGCAGTGTTGCGAATAAAAATTCATGTTTTTCGATTTAAAATGAGTAGCAACTTAAGGTTTTAACAGTATATCGCATGCAAAAGACGAAATAAATTGTCAATATTTGCACCTTAAGGGCAGAAAAAGCACAGCATGGGCAAACAAAGAACAAACATTACTCGTCAAAACGACTCCAGAAGAAACCCTCCACTTGTCCTATTTTCGAGGCTATTGGACTTTGAAAATTTTCATGCAGACGACAAGAAAAATTACACCAAATACTAGAGTTACTACTTTTTCTGTTCAAATATTACATTAGAATTACGTTCTTCAAGTTTTTTACACACCATAAAGTGTATCTGCTACATAAGAGAAGTCGATTATTAAAGATTGGAAAAATATGTTTTATGAGAAGTGTGGCCAAAGATTAAACATACTGTGGCTAATTAACAAAACAGTAAAATATGCCTATTTAGGTCGGTGGGTTTTTCGGTCAATAGATGATGGTCAAAAAATAATACACTATTTTTCATGGGCCAACGTTTCGACTATATTTAAGTCATCCTCAGGACTCTATGAAGCGGGTGCCATATTTACACCAATTGCACAGAAAGAGCAACATACCGTTAGAAGTAGGTGTACTTTTAGACCAAAAAACCCACAGGCCTAAATAGGAATATTTTACCATTAAGCATACTGTTTAATTTTTTTAATTGTTTTTTTTTTTGGGAAATTGGAATCTTATAAATGGGTTTGTTGTATTGAAAAAAGTTTAATGTACATTCATTCAAACATTTATCATTCTATATGTTCCTAATTCAATGAGGTAAAGCACGTTTTTCAATCAATATTCGAAACGAGAACTAAAATAGATAAGAACATATGTTCTAACCGGCCATATCACCTGATTTACTTTCTTCAGACTTTTGCTTGCT